TCTTGGAAACTCTTTAACAAAACTGCCATTAAAACTTTTAACAAATTTATTTCAAAAACAAAAATCTGGAAAAACACTTCACAAATCTTCAACAAAAAAGGCACATTACTTTATAAAAAACTTCAAAATATCAAATTTCATATTTACAATCTATTAATACAAACTCCATTACCATAAATTTCTCAATATTAAAAGATCTCAAAGATCTTAAACCTTCACATCATGACAAAAATAATCAAATTAAATTACTAGAAAAACTATTTAAAATTATCTACAAATACTCAAAATTGAAAACAACTTACAACAGAAGAAAACAATTAATAAAATCATTAATCAACATATAATAAATCTTCAAGAGAAACCAAAAATTATGATCAAGCAAATACTTAATTACAAAAACCCTTATGTATCCTTTACAAAAATAATTAATCCAATTAATAAAAAAATCATTACTAATCTAATACTAATTCATCAAACAATTACTAATTACTATAAAAAAGTATTCTACAAATAATTCATTAACAATAAATTTCTTTTCAAATGGGAAAAATACTATACCTTACTTGACAATATTAATTCTTTCATTTATAATACATTAATAAATCCAATTATCAAATATAAAATTACAGAAACAATCAACTCACTTCTCAATAACAAAGCACTAGGCCCTTTTAAAATCAATTACTTATTTATAAAACAAACACAAAAAACATTACTTTTCTATATTAATTTAATATCTAACCAAATAATCTTTTTACAAGAAATTTCAACTGATTTAAAAACCATCATATCTTTCCAATTAACAAAAAACTTCAATAGAAATATAATATTCAAGAATCCAAACCCATTATATTTATTAATTTATTCAGAAAAATCTTAACAAAAATTTTTATCTAAAGACTTAACCACATCCTAATAATACACAAAGTTCTCCAAGAATCCAACTTTGTTGGCCTTTCTAAATAAAGTACATTAAATCTATCCAAATACTCAATTTAATTTACAATATCAGGAAACTTACACAAAAGAAACTATGGATCTTTTTACTTGACATCAGTGCAGCTTTTGACTCTGTTAACCTGAAAATGTTTAAACAATCAATGCAATATCTTCATATCTCAAATACATTTATTTTATTTACAAGTAACATTCTTACAAATCACTTTTGTCAAATTATTATAGATTCAGGTCTTATTTAACTAATTACTATTTCCAATAGAATCAACCAAGGAGAAACACTCTTACCCCTATGGTGAATTATATTTTATAACTTTCTAATTAAAGCCTTATTACAATAACTATCTTAACTCAAATATAATATCATAGCCTGTATAAATGATTTTAATCTTCTGACATTCACAAAAACTGAAATTCAAAACAATCTTAACATAGCAACTGAATTTTTCAAACTTAACAACATCAAAGCCAATTTAACAAAAATCAAACTAATAACAATAAACAGCTTAATAACTAACAAAAAACTTATATAATAAACAACTCATATTTTTCCAATCTCCAAAAAAGAACCAATCAGAATTCTAGGAATATGGCTCTCTAAACACAGCATTCTTCATCTTAATTACAATAAAATCTCAAAAGACACTGAAACAATAACTTAAGTACTCAAATCCAAATTTACAACAGTTATATAGCAGCTTATATATATAATAAAGTCTTCTTTATACGTATCAAATACAAACTACAAACAATATTTCTTACTACAAACATGCTTAAAGAAATCTAAAGAAAAATTGATTTAACAATAAAATATAAATTTAATATCAAAAGAACTCTTTCTTAATTATGGTTTTATAACTTATATATATTCAATATTAAAACTATTTCAAACTTACAATTAGAAGTTCTAATCTCCAACTTACAATATTCATTAACAAATTCTATTATCAAATTATTAAAAGAACAAGAAATCCTTGCTATACAAATTCAAAACTGCCAATTTCTTTGTATTTTTCAAAACCAACATATTTCTAAACACAATATTGCAATATTTACAATCCAAATTGTCAACTATTACAACATTACATATTGCTTTGAAACCAATTGCCAACACAAAATGTCAAAAGAAATTACTTCAATATATCAATATCTCTTATATCACAAAAATTGGACAATCTTTGCAAAACAATTTTCCAATAAAAACATATAAAAAGAAATTGTTATATTATAGTAGCTACTGACTATCTTACAAAATGGCCTAAACCTGAAGCTACCTCTGAAGCCACAGGACAGCATGTTGCAGATTTTATTTATCAAGTCATTATTTATAGACATGAATATCCAAAGCAGATACTTTCAGATAGAGGAACACATTTTCAAAATGAAATTGTTGAAGCTTTATTAAGAAAATTTGAAATAGCGCATTTATATTTCACCCTGTACCACCCTCAAACAAATGGATTGGTTGAATGTTTTAATAAAACTTTATATAAATCACTGGCCAAAATTATTGAAGGAAATTAGGATTGGGATGAATTTATAACATCAGTACTTTTTGCATATCGGACCTCCAAACAAGCAACAACCAAAATGACACCTTTCTACTTAGTTTATAGACGAAACCCCACAATGCTCTAAGAAGAAATAGATAAAATTGTTGATGGAAACATTCTTGACCAATTATATATATTGATCGAAACACTCCTACAGGACCGTATTTGAGCCTAGCAGAATATTGAAAAGATCCAGCAGAAACAAAAGAAAAGACATGATCTAAAAATCAAAAAGGATAAGAGATTTAAAATTGGTAACAAGATTTTACTTTATAATGCTGCAAGAGATAAACATTATACCGGAAAACTCAAGTCCAAATGAAAAGGACCTTTCTATATTCACGACATTTTGAAAAATAGAGCTTATAAGTTAAGGACAATGAATGGAAAAGTTATAACTATACATGTGGCGTAAATTATTTTGCTGTTGACTCAATTCCCAAAATCCTCAAAAATAATTGCGTCATGACTCAATTATTTATATGTTTTAATAGTGACTTAATTAATTGCGTCAAATAATTGTGTCAATTGCGTCAAGGATCTATGAATTTCAGTAACATGTATAGTTTATTGACTGAAAATGATTTGCTCTTATAATCAGATCTCTATAATCAACATTATAATATAATTGAAACTGATTGTACCAACTTGCTTAATACTTCCATAATTAATTTGGATAATGATTTGCTTGATAAACAAAGTGATTTGGAACAAGAAAAACTTGATGAAGAACAGATATGATCTGATTGGATGATATTGTCAGAAATGAGACCAGAAATACCTATAATGATTTCTTCAGATTTGGGTTTATATGATATTGATCAAAACTTTGACTGGTTTGATAATATTAGATACTGTTTTCCAGATCTTAATCTTTTAGATCTACCTAGATTTTTAAAAGAAGCATGTAATATAGATCTTAGCAATAATAATTTTTTAGATACTATACATATTGTAAACTATCAAACATTAAATAATAAACAGTTGAAGATATTTCGTCAAATTGAATCCTATTATATCGATTCATTTAGAAATTCTAATCAAGTTAATTTACTTAGACTTATTATAATGGGAACTACTGGCACTGAAAAGTTATATTTAATCAAGATGATTTGTAATTGTCTTCAAGAAATTGCAAGAAACTATATTATCAATACAAATAATATTCAATTACCCATTCTTATACTTGCACCTACTGGCATAACAACCTTTAATATTCATGGTAGAACTATACATTCAGCTTTATCTATTCTAGTTTCTAATAAGAATGTTCTTGAATTGAATAATGAGCATTTAAAAAAATTACAAAAAAAATTAAATGCAGTAAATTATATCATTATTGATGAAATAAGTATGGTTGAGTGTCATATACTTACATTAATAGATTTGTGACTACGTCAAGCCTTCCCAGAGCATTGGAATCAAGCATTTGGTGGCTGTTCAATTATTTTAATTAGAGATTTTGGTCAACTTTCACCTATACGTGATGAACCAATGTATTCTCAAATCATTTATTATGATTCATTATCAAATGATGATATTTCAATATACAATTAATTTCAAGAAGCCTATAAGTTTAATATTGTTCAATGTCAGTCTGAAAATTCAGAAGAACAATGTAATTTCAGAGCTTTGTTATTGTAATTACGTGATAGTAAATTAACAGTAGATAATTGGAAATTACTTGTTACTTGATTTATTGGTACACCAACTATATCTTTTATAGAACAAGATTATTTTTCAAATGCAATATGTATTATACCTCGAAAGTGTAATGTTATTAAGTATAACATTAATAAGCTCAGATCTTTAAATTGTCTTGTTGCAAGAATTAATGCTGTTCATACTGGTGAAAATAAAGCTCGTAATGCTAATTCAGACACAGCAAAATAATTTGAATCACTATTATTATTAGCAAGAAGTGCAAGAATTATACTTAAAGTTAATTTGTGGACAGAAGCAGGTTTGGTTAATGGTTCTATGGGAACAATATATGATATTATCTTTGAAGAAAATTAGAGTCCTCCTTTGCTTCATATTGCAGTATTAATAGAATTTGATAATTATACTAGATCTGTTATAGTAACAACAAAAAGTAGTAATGTTGTTCCAATTTTTCTTATTAAACATTTCTGGGAGGATAAAAATGGAGCTTGTTCACGTATACAGGTTTCTATTTGACTTGTGTGGACTATTACAATCCATAAAAGTCAAGGTTTGACATTGCAAAAAGCTATAGTAGATCTTGGCAATAAAGAATATTCTGCTGGTCTTTTATTTGTAGCTATATCTCAAGTTTGTACACTTAGAAATATTTTTTTTAGATCTTTTTTATTTGAAAGATTACAGCGTGTTAAATATTCTAAGAGATTACAAGAAAGAATAGCTGAAGAGAAGCATTTAAATTCACTAGTATAATAATGCTTTAATTTATTATGTAATGTTATAATCTGCATTAGTATAATATAAAGCTTCAGACGTTTAATGGTTTCAGTTACCTAGTTTTAATAATTTATAAATTATATTATTTTTAATTTTTAATTAATAATTTTATATTATATTAGTCACGGGACATTTCCCTTAATCAAGACTCAAAATATTATTTTTATAATACAATTTATATTGTGTGTAACAACAACGGGAGGGAAATGTCCCTTAACTGATATATTAACTTTAACTTAATTTTTATAAAATTCAAATTTTTATATACTATATGTTTTTATATGATTTTTATGATAAATAATATAAAAATAATATATTTTTTGAAATATGACATTAAAAAAAATAATACTTAAATATTAATATTAAATAATATAAAAATTTTTTAATTGAGATTATTTATTAATACTAGAAGATTTTTATTAAATTTTTTTATATTTTTTAGATTAATATTTATTAAATAATAATACAATTTTTAATTTTTTGAAAAAATTTCCAGAAAACTTTGAGTATCACTGTTATTATTTATAATTACGTAATAAAAAATATATCTTTATAAAAAAAATTATACTAATAAATTATTTTTACAATTATTTTTTATTAATAATTTAAAATAATAACTTGATTAATATAAAATATTTTATTATAGAAAATAGGTTTTAACTTACGTATAATTTAATTATATCAGATATAATAATAATAAAACGAGAAGTATAATAATATAATTTTTTAAAACGTTATGGATTAATTTCTTTGCAAAATTATTGGTTTTCTTAAATTCTAAAACATTTTATATAATCAATATTTGCAATGTAAAGGCCAACTTGCAAATAGTAAACTTTATTAGCTATTTTTATACCGCTAATAATACATTAAAAACAAAATAGAACTTTGTTTTATGCTATGATAAAGAATAAAGTACGTTATCGCACAAGTTTAGTTTACATTTAACCAATTGCTTGTTTAATATTTTTTTCCAAGTTTTCCTTAACAGCGCCAATAACTCTCAATTCCTCCATACATTGATCATTTTTAAAGATAAGGAAAGTTGGTAACGCGGTGATAGAATAGCTCGCAGACAAATCCTTTGTAAAGAAAATAAGCGTTAAAAGAAGTAAAAAAAAATGAAAATTGGATGAGATTTTTCAACTTACTTGTAATTTATCAGTATTTACTTTTAAGAATTTAACTCTGCCCTCATATTCTTTACTAAGCTCCTCTAAAATCGGTGCAAAAGAACGGCAGGGTCCGCACCAATCGGCGTAGAAGTCAACTACCGTCTTGAAAGAAAAAACTTGTAAATTATCAACGCAATTTAAGTCTTACCATAACTGTTACATACCACTCCTTCCTTAATTTCTAATTCGAAAGAATCTTTTTCTGCAATAGCTTTGACTACCATTTTTCGAATGAAAAAAATATGAACGAGTAGTTAAATCGTGAGAATTTAATTTGATGGACCAATAATGTATCATTTCAAATTCAATGTTACTCTATGTCCTATAATTTGCGATTTTTTAATATACTGTAATTTTGCTTAATACAATATGAAACAAAAAAATTTGGTTTTTCTATTTCAATAACTAAATAATAAAATAAGATTGAAAATATAAAGTTAAGGTTTTTAAATTTTATTGTTAAATTTATTATTAAAAAAAATCATTTAAAATGATTATAAAAATAAATAATAAATATGTAATTGTTAAAATTATAATATTTTAATAAAGCTTTTTCCTACTTTCCTTATACTTGAAAATTTTCTTTTTAGAAAATTTTTTGAGTTGTTTATCTTTTTTTTTACTTTTTTTTTTATTTTTATTTATTTTGCTTTTATTATTTATTTTTTTTTTTTACTGTTAAGTGAGGCATTTCTCACGATCTTTATTAATAAAGTAAATTCGTTACATAATTAATATT